GACAAATCAATTTTATATACAACTCTTCAAGAATTCGAGTCTTCTCATTCTTAAAGAGTTGGGGGGCATTGTTTGCACCCATTTTCATAAAATTCCGATCGATAGGTGGATTAATCGGATGATGACACATGGCAATGAAGTCAAAATGAAGTCTTTCAACAGTCAAGGGGCTACGTGGTGTGAAGGAATTGATCATGTGCATCAATTGGTTGAGAGGGTCATGAGCTACTTATCAATTGGTTAATTGGCTTGGTGGACTAATTTACAGGGGACCATATTTGTGAATTGGAAAGCTTTCCTCTGTCAATCATCCTCATTAATTGAAGGGAAATTGTGCAATGATGTGGTTGGAGGTAAAAGCAGAGTTGGGTCAAAGATAAAGGTTTAAAGAAGCAAAGGATGTTGCAAGCAGCTATGGACCTTAGTAAAATGTTTTCTTTTGTCGAAGATAATGCTAAAGATCATGGAGGACATGTGGCAGCATTGAAGAAGTTGGTTTTGCTTCAGAAAGAGGAACCAAAGAAGGTTTGAAGGTTCTAAAAGGCCAAGGCAGTTTTGATTAGTTGAATGAAAGTGGCCTGCTGATTTGAAAGATCATGGGACAGTGGCTAAAAAGAAGGAAGGCATGGTTGAGATTTGGGCATTATAAATGCAGTAAAGGAGCAAGAGAGGAGGATGATCAACAACACAAAGAACTAGTTTTAGACTTAGCATAATCTATGAGTAGCTTTCCTAGTTTAGGAGTAGTTTCTTCTATAATTCGTATCCTTGTGAACTTCTGTGAACTTTGGTAATTTTATCTTGGAATTACTTTTTGTTTGCTTTGTTTGCTTTATAACTGATTAATTGTTCTAGAGAAGTCCTCATACCTTTGAGGCATTTGAATCAATTACACAGTTGCCTGGTTATCCTTGTTTAATTATTTGGTTTAAATTGTTGTTTAATCCCTGTCGATTGGGAATAAACATAATTTTTACTAACACCTATTAAATAGGTCAATTTACAGGTAAACCAGATTAAAATAATAGATTATATTATATAGTCACAAACATGCATAAGTCTTCTCACAAAAATGTGTAAGTTAATACAAATTCGTGTAAGTGCTCATAAAATCTTTCACGTAAGGCACTCACAAAAACACATAAGTTCAATACAAATTCACGTAAATAATCTCATTAAAGTTTTAAAAATCACAATAAGTTTTCATGAGCTCACATAAGTCATATCACACACACGAATAAGTTAACATGAATTCGCTATAAGTGAACTCATAAAAGTTTTGAAAATCACAAAATGACGTAAGTTGGCATGAACTGGCATAAGGTATCTCACAAAAACGTGTAAGTTAACAAAAATTCGCCATAAGTGAAGGCATACAAAATCATGTAATTAAGTTTCCACGAACTCACATAAGTCATCTCACAAAAATGCATAAATGTAACACAAATTCACATAAGTTATCTAATAAAAAATTTTAAAATCACAATATCACATAAGTTTTCACTAACATACGTAAGTCATCTCACAAAAAAAAACGTAAGTTAACACAAATTCGCATAAGTTATCTAATAAAAGTTGTAAAAATCACAATCACATAAGTTTTACGAATTCATGTAAATCATCTCACAAAAACACATAAGTTAACACAAATTCGAAGTAAGTAAACTCATAAAAGTTTTGAAAATCATAAAATCACATAAGTTTTTACGAACTTACGCTAGTCATTACAGAAAAACGCATAAGTTTAACATAAATTCACATAAATCAACTCATAAAATTACATAAGTTTTTACGAATTGATATAAAATATTTAATTACGTAATGTAAAATGGTTAATTATTAAATATTTTTGAATAATGTAAAAATAATCATTATCTTGGAATTATCTTTGGATTCTACGACTGTTGGATCAGTTTTCCAGATTAGAAGATCAAACACATAAATAGGTGAATATGGTGGATTCAGCTACTGGTGAAAGCCATTGGTCTACTTTAGTAGGCTCTCTCACACCAACAACATTGGGTTGTATGGCTTCTCGAAAATCACTAGAAATCACAAGGATAGAGATACACTGATTAATGGTCAATTCACACATTATTTGTAAAAAAAAATTACAAATAACAAACACACATTATTTGTAAAAAAAAATTACATTAACCTCCTTTTAAGATTAGGAGAAATACAAAATCCATCACAAGATAATACAATATTGGTAAATTATATTGACCTCTAAGATTTGAAGAAAATAGAACAAGCCTTATAATATATATCTTTCAATGTAAAAAATATAACATTATTTTTCAGTTAATATGACTAACGAATTATTAACAAGTAAATTAAAATCTTAACAGAACTCAATGTTTGTCATCTTAAACCCGCAAAAAAAATCACTTATCACATATAATACATTGTTGGTAAATTACATTGACCTTTTCTAAAAGTCTTACAGTATACATTTTAGTATACAAAAGATAACATTATCAATATGACTAACGAATTATTGATAAAAATAAAATTTAAATGTAATACAAATTAAAATTTTAAGAAAGGTTAATATTTAAAATCTTAATCTCAATATAATTATAATAAAATTATAAGAATTACTTATTTTTCTCAAATTGTAATTTACCTTATATTGCTCAAAGGATGTGCATCCCTGCACAACAACCACCCCAAATCGTGTTAACAAAAGCACCCATTACGTCCACACATACAAGAAACAGTTCTCACCAAGTTACTTGTTTATAGTCATTTTCTATAATTTGAAAATTAATAATAAAAAATATAAATTAAAAGAAGAGTAAATTATTGAAAAATCCAACCTAAGGATGGTATAAGGCATTAGGTCCAATGAATATTTTTTCGTTAGTGAGAGGTTCACCATTTGTGAAATAGTTTAGTGAGAAGTCCTATTGTTTGTTTTACACGATATTTTATTTCTAATTTTATCTCTTAATTTATATATATGTTCAAATTATTTTCTATTTGTTCAAATTTATATCTATATGTTCAAATTATTTTCTACCTGTTTAAATTTATATCTATATGTTCAAAATTTTTGAATATATGTTGAATTTTTTCCCCTTATCTGTTCAAATTCTATTTTTGGTACAATTTTTTTTTCTATCTATTGAAATACCAAGACAAACAAACAAAGAGACGAACCAAATTCTATCTGCTGAAATACCAACCCAAACCAAACCCTATATATTCAAATTTTTTTATCTATCTGTTCATTATTCTCTCTATCTCTCTCTTTCTCACTCCTCATCTGTTCAACACAAGAACAAAAAAAAAAAATTATAATCTGTTGCACTCAGTTTCATCATCATCATCATCATCATCATCATCAACAACAACCACCGGAAAAAAACAAAAAAACAAAAAAAAACCCTATATATGAAGTGACACAAATTTGAACCTAAACATCATTAATTTCTCAGAACTGATCAACATCAACAACTTGCTCATGAGATTGTGGATCTCTGATACTTACGTTAGTCGAAGAAAGTAGCCGGCAAAAGTGTAATTTGACGAGCATCGCCGCCGCCATCACTGCGAATCTCGGCTAGGGGATTCCATTGAGATCAGTGGTGAGGGAGTCCCAGAGAATGTTCGAAAATGAGGGAGAACTACACACAAGGAGAGAGTCGCCATGGAGATGACGGAGCAACTTCCGCCCTCGAAGATGAAGAATTGAGCGGCATTGGCGCAATAGTGGGTGGCAACCTGGCGACCGGTGGCGTGCCAGACGACAAGGAGCTTGGAGGAGATAGCGGTGGTCGCTGCGGAGCTTGACGGACAGGAAGACGAGGATGATTATGTGAGAGAGAGAGAGAGAGAGAGAGAGAGATATGAGCGATTTGGTTTGGTTAGGTTAGGGTTTGGTTTAGGAAAATATATATATATATATATATGAAGAGTTTGATCATTCTTTAAAAACTTATCGTTGTGAATAAAATATTTTAGAATGTAGATCTTTAGACAAATAAAATTCAAAATTAAATTTATAGACCGAGTGCTCTTTCCAACTTTTTAATAATTATTTTTTATTTTAACTTATTTAAATTATTTATATCTCACGAGTTAAAAGCAAAAATATATAAAACAATAACATGAATTCCAAAAAATAAAAAATCATAAATAGTCAAATGTGTTGATGCAAAAAAACATGACTCATTTGGAAAGCAAAAACTATTAAGACATCCTGCAACGTTTCTATGCCTTTCAGTTTTCAGTCTTCAACCAACACTTGGAACAGAACCACACTCAAAATACCACATGAATCGGAGAATGTTTTCATCAAAAATATTAAGGCTGAATAGTGAAAATAGTAAGAGATGCAAGAAAGTTAAATTTTACATACAATCCATATCAGTATTGTGACTTTGTTCAGTTTATTACGAAAAAAAATACATATAAAAAATAAAATAAAAAATTATCTTCGATGAAAGTAGTTTACTGTTTTCTTTTTCTCTTTGTCATGCTAACTGTTAACTTCCTCAAAAAATTCATATTAACCAAATGCATACTAAAAAGTAAAATTCTCTCAATCTTCCTTGTCTTTCACTTCACTTTCCATTATATTTTACACCGTAATCAAACAAATCCTGAAAGAAAAATAACTGTGTTAATGTGGCTTGCGAAAGACCAAGGGTTGGCATAGTAAAGATGATATGCTCCTTTGCTGAGCGTGATATTCAAATTCAAGTCTTACTGTTATATGATGCAACTTCTCTTTCCCCTATTCCCCTACTAGCAATTGTAAAAAAAATGTAGATTGAGACATAATAACACTACATTTTGGTTGATTTGATTCATCTACATGATTGAAAGCACAAATCATGTGTCAACTCTGAACAATGATTCAATTGAAAATGCACAACACCCCCAATTTACAAAGCCAGTCTTTAAAACTCAAAAATGAAACAAGGCCAACTGCTGATGGGACCTAAGTTTCTCCATTCAGAATACAGTATAAACAAATCAAGGCAGAGTCAAACTTGAAAACTTTCAATAGCTTTATGTTTTTCCCCCATTAATATTACAACAAATGCCATATCAAAATGTTTACTTGCCATTCGGGTATGATCTTCAATAAGAATGACTAACTTTCCCTCCAAAACTTGGAAAGCCAAATTCCCTTGTGAAGTCATTGTGTATGCAGTGTACCTAAAAGATCTTTCACAACTAAACGAATATAATCTGAATAACATTGAGGCGTCAAGAAATAATGTCTGGATTGGTTATATAAGTAGATCAGTCCATATAAATACACAACAATCGGGATTAACAAAGCCATAATATTTGGGTTACATAAGGGAAACGGGAGGGCAAAAAAAAGGCATGTTAAATAAGTTCCTGGATTTCAATACATAGAATACAGCCATCCTAATTAATACCCAAGAGATTTAGGTATTGAAACTGGATTTTGTGCCTTGAAGTTCTCAAGTTTAGATCTGAGGTCACTGTGGAAAGAAATCAGTGATTTCTGTCGACTTGCAAAGGTAATGCCAAACTGTTTGATCTCTTCTTCAAGATCTTTCCTTCTCTGTACTTCAGTGTTCAAATCCTGCCAAACCTTTTCCTTTTCATTCGTAACTTGTTCAAGTGTTTGAGATGAACTGGAAACTGTTTGGAGCAGAGAGTCTCGTTCTTCTTTCAAGAGATGGAACTCCCTCTCCAAGCTATGATATCTTTCCTTAGAATCCTCAAGAAGATGAGTATTGGTATTCAACTCTTTTGTCAAGCTCTGGTATTTTTCCTTGATTGTATTGAGATCATTACCCAGCTTCATCTTCAAACAAGCAATCTCGCCTCCCAAAGTGCAGTCCTTTACCAAAATCAAAAACTAAATCTTAAAAATAGGACAGATATATACCTGCAACTCTTCCAGAAATTTCAGCTGAAAAGTAGTTCTTATCATCTAGGTTCTAGAATGTAAATTTCAAGCAGTCAAACTAGCTCAAATACAAGTTTGTTCACTTGAAAATGTCCATGTTGGGAACCAACCTAAGATGGGTAATTAACTGCCTTCATCAAAAATCTGTAACTAACACATGCACTTCCATCTAATTACATTTTTAATGCAATTGAGGCTCTAAGGTGATCGCCTATTTTTGAGACACGAGGTGATCTCTTAGTTCACTATATGATGTTTGGTAGTTTACATCTTGATTAAGCATTTTATTTTATTTTAACAAATTAACATCATCCATTGATTTCACTAATATGATATGGTTTTCTTTACAAGCTACTACATCGGATTACAACTCCACTAATAGATTAGCCACAATTTTTTACATCAAAAAAAAAAAAAAAAATCACTAAGAAGAGTCACAACGATGATGATGGAGATTATGTTTTTGGTGATGATGACGCTTATTACTAAGCTCTTAAAACAATGCATCCATGAGACTAGATGTTTAGCTGTTTGCACTGTGGTTCATATTACAACTCAAAACATTAGTTTTTGTTAGATGTGAAAGTGATGTTTTATGACTTTTGTTAGATGTTATGTTTGTGGTTTTTAGGAGTTTTTAATGTTGCGTTTAAAATTTTTCTCTATATGTTGAAGAGAGAAGAGCATTTGATAACCTTTAAAAGTGAGTCAAATAGGAGCCAAATAGATTACTATTGAGTAAGAAAAGTGGACCGTCTAAAATGCAACGACTGTAAGGTAATTCTTGGAGAGAGCCTAATGTCTTAACATAGGATTTTGGAATTAGGTTTATATTTTAAAGGGCAATACCAAGCTAAGAAGGATAGTGGGCGTCGTAGGACGAGATGGTGAGACCTAAAAGGGGATAAACTAAAAAAATTTAAGAATAGCATGGATAAAGAAGGTACTTGGAACTTGGAAGATGATACTAACACTATGTGGAACTTGATAGCCAATTGTATGAAGAGAATCTCAAGGCAAGTCCTTGGAGAGTCGAAAGGAAAGGGACCCAACTCTAAGGAAATTGGATGGTGGAAAGAGGAGGTTCAAGCGGTAATAAAGAAGAAAAAAGAGTGTTTTAAAAAGTGGCAGAAGAATAGAACTGAGAAAAACCTTAAAAGCTACAGATTGACTAATAAGGTCAAAAAAGTAATGAGAGAAACTAAATTGAAAACTTATGATGACCTATACACTAGACTAGATAGTAAAAGAGGGAGAGGGGAGAATATACAAACTTGCTAAGATAAGAGAGAGGAAAACAAGAGATTTTAATCAGGTCAAGTGCATCAAGAGTGAGGACTCTAAGGTGTTAGTGAAGGATGAAGAGATTAAGGAGAGGTAGAAGAACTATTTTGAAAAGTTGTTTAATGAGCAACATGGAGGAAGGTCAAAAGGGGAGGAAGTAGTCAATAATAAAGAAAACCAAGACCACAGGTTCTATTACAGGATTAGGAACTTTGAAATGGAGATTGCACTTAAAAATATATAATCGAATAAGGCTTTAGGACCTAATGATGCCCCTATTGAAGCTTGGAAATGTTTAGGTAAAAAGGAAGGTGTTAAAATCCACCTACTACACACCTACCACACACTCACCTACTTCACCTACTCTCCACCTACTCCTCACCTACTACACACTCACCCTCTCCTATATATAGGAATCAATGTAAACATATCAATATATCAATCAATAATACAATTCTCTACTTCTTTTTATACATTGAATTTCTTACATGGTATCAGAGCTAAGTTAAGAACCTAGCAATTTCGTTTCACCGGCGGGCGGCAATCTCGCCTTGGCCGCCCGCCGGACAAACCCAAATTTCCTAATTTCTTCTTCCATGACAGCTTCTTCAAACATGTTTCAGAATGATCAAACGCTCAGAGCTTCCAGTACCTTTGTAATTGACTACATCAATATATTCATGGTCCCCTCTAGGGACCTTACCACTTGACAATCTTTTCTGCTGCTGTTCTCAGTGTTGTTGTTGTTGTTGTTGTTGCTCCTTAATATATCTTGTCCAGAGTTGAACATATAGGAGTTCATTCCACGTGTCAGGTACACCAAGAAGGCACCAATGGCTGCAATCTTGGAATCTCAATGGCGATCGTCTCTCCTCCTCCGTGAAGTTCAGCTTCCTGTAAATTGATGGGTGTGCATCCTTGTGATAATCTGTCATTCTTGTGATGTTCAGATAGAAGACTGGTGTCTTCATCCCTTTCATCAACCCCTCCAACACTCTCATTTTCTGTGGATATTCAGAAAGATATGTTGCATTCTTGATTGGCTCTGATCCACTGTCACATTTCCCTCCAGAATTCCATTGTCCACCTCTAAAATGCACAGCAGATGCTTATCCATCAGGGTAAAGTTCTCAAGGATTCGCCAACATTGGAGGAAAAACAAAGTTGCTGAAAAAAGTTTTGTTGTCATCATGTTATCTAAGAACAAGGCATCAGGTGGGGCATCAGGTGCGGCCTCAACTGCATCATCTGCACCTTCAACTCAGGCCCAGCCAACTAGTTTTTTTGCTCCTCCAGCACAGCTTTCTACTCTTTCTCTCTCCTCCTTTGTTGTGTGAGACTGATGATGGGTAGCACAGCAGAGATGCTCCACTACGATGGTGGTGTCTTTTTTAAAAACATAATCATCTCTCCCACCAAAACAACATCTTTCACATACCCACCATGCCCCCTTTTTTATTTTTTAAAACCCATCTTCTCCACTGCCCCATATATATCTATATATATCTTTTTTTATTATAATATATTACTCCAACACACTCTCTCTCCTCCTATCTCCCATCACTTTGCTGGACAATGAGCAAATTCTCATTATCATTCTTATTATTTTTATTATTATCACATGGGCGTGTTCCCCCTCTTAACAAAAAACAAAAAAAAACAAAAAAAACCAACCAATTTACCAATTTGCACACCACCCATATTTTATTCATCTCCGGGATCAACCCCGATCACAATTTTACACACACAAAAAAAAAAAAAAACAAAACAAAAACAGAAACACAAACAAAACAACCACACCTACAGTGGGATTTTTCTTTTTCCTTCTCTACTCTACTGCAGGTCTCTTCTTCTTACTTTTATCTTGGGTGTCCCGTGCCAGTCCGGCCTCCGTGTTTCCCACGCCACCGAGCACATTCACTCCCACCTGCTCCTCCACTACAGCATATGGCGGCCCTCCAAATCGGAACATAACGGTGGCCTTCCGCTTCAGCTCCTTGTTTTCTGTCTTTAGCAAATCGGAACATCACGGTGGCCTTCCGCTTCAGCTCCTTGTTTTCCGCCTTTAGCACACTTATCTCTGCTCGCGCATCCTTATACATGCGCTGGAGCAGAGCCAGTTGGACGTTTAAATGCTGCACCTCATTTGTCCTACTCTGCAGCCGGTGCGACAAGTTTGTGACCGCAGTCATGGTTTCCACACATGACTCCAATGTATACTGATTGGCTTCAATATCCGTTTGCCCTGCCATTTTTTGCTCTACAGACCGCATAGGAAAGTTCAACGGAGTAAAACCTGGGGCGCTTGGTTGAGGTTCACTGGCCACCGCACCAGTTATCTCTCTTGTTGACTCGTTGAGGTCGGGAAAGAGAGTGAGTAGACCACGGGATGAAGGGGCCATATTCTGGGTAGCTGAACGGGAAGACGAGGCCATTGTTCAGATGTTTCAGAATGCAAATATTCAGATGTTTCAGAATGAAAATGTTCAGCGGTTTCAGACTGGTTTGCCTAGCCTCCACCTCAACCTTGGTTTAAATAGCCAGGGCCGATCCGCGCATCGCGCGCCACTTGACGCCAGACGACAAAACGGGCACGCAAGCCAAGGTAATCACGCGCCTCGCCATAATGTCCGGCACACCTTTTTATGGATTGGGCATGCCTTTTGATGGCACGCCTTTTTATGAATTGGGCACGCCTTTTGATGGCACGCCTTTTGACAGATTGGGCACGCCTTTTGAGGGTACGACTTTTTAGGGGTCCGACAAGACTCTGTAAACTGTCCTGACATTGATTCCGGTTAGTTTCTACAAAGGGTCCAGCAAGACTCCGTAAACTGTCACAAGATTGTCTGCTACAACGGTCCGACATGACCCCGTAAACTGTCTTCTACACCGGTCCGACACGAGCCAGTGTCTTCTACATCGGTCTGCCATAACCATACAGTCTTCTACAACGGGGTCTGACACGACCATACAGTGTCTCTTATCCTCTTTTATTTTTATGTATTTTCTTGTTTTGTTACTCTCTCCAAACTCAAGTTGGTTAGTTCCTATCCCCCTTGAGTTTGCGGGGGGCTGTTAAAATCCACCTACTACACACCTACCACACACTCACCTACTTCACCTACTCTCCACCTACTCCTCACCTACTCCTCACCTACTACACACTCACCCTCTCCTATATATAGGAATCAATGTAAACATATCAATATATCAATTAATAATACAATTCTCTACTTCTTTTTATACATTGAATTTCTTACAGAAGGTAATTGGTTGATTAGGTTATTTAGTAAAATTTTGTTAACTAGGAAAATGTCCAAAATTGCAACAGCTATAGAGGAATCAAACTGATGTGTCATATAATGAAAGTTTTGGAGAGAGTGATAAAACATCAATTGTGAGATATAGTAGAGGTGTCAGAGAATCAATTTAGATTTATGCCTAGTAGGTCAACAATGAAAACGATCTATCTTTTGAGGAGAGTAATAAAAAAATATAGAGAAAAAAGAAAAGATAGTCATATGGTTTTTATCGATCTTGAGAAAGCATATCATAGAGTGCCTCGAGATATAATCTGGTGGGTGTTAGAAAAGAAAGGGGTGACAAAAGGTTACATTGATGTGATTATTAAGAACTTTGAAATGGAGATTGCACTTAAAAATATAAAATCGAATAAGGCTTTAGGACCTAATGATGCCCCTATTGAAGCTTGGAAATGTTTAGGTAAAAAGGAAGGTAATTGGTTGATTAGGTTATTTAGTAAGATTTTGTTAACTAGGAAAATGTCCAAAATTGCAACAGCTATAGAGGAATCAAACTGATGTGTCATATAATGAAAGTTTTGGAGAGAGTGATAAAACATCAATTGTGAGATATAGTAGAGGTGTCAGAGAATCAATTTAGATTTATGCCTAGTAGGTCAACAATGAAAACGATCTATCTTTTGAGGAGAGTAATAGAAAAATATAAAGAAAAAAGAAGAGATAGTCATATGGTTTTATCGATCTTGAGAAAGTATATCATAGAGTGCCTCGAGATATAATCTGGTGGGTGTTAGAAAAGAAAGGGGTGACAAAAGGTTACATTGATGTGATTAAGAACATGTATGAAGGTGTGGTGACCACTATTAGATTGTCTGCTAAAGAGACAAGTGAATTTTCAATTATTGTGAGGTTACACCAAGGACCAATCTTAAGTCTTTATCTTTTTGCTTTAGTTATGGATGAGTTGACGAAAAATATTCAAGATGATGTGTTATGGTGTACGCTTTTTGCAAATGATATCATGTTAGTAGATGAGACTAGAGGAGTTAACACTAAGTTGGAGACTTGGAGAAAAGCACTTGAATCTAAAGGATTTAGGATAAACAAAACTAAGACAGAATATATTGAGTATAATTTTAATAAAAGTAACAATAGAAACAGAGGAAAAGTCAAGATTGTGAACCAAGAATGTGGTCCATGAACTAAGGCGGGGTGGCTTAAGTGGAGAAGTGTGTCTAAGGTACTGTGTGATAAACGAGTACCCCCTAGACTAGAAAAAAAGTTCTAGAGCACAGCTATTAGACCAACAATATTGTATGGAACGGAATGTTGGGCAACTAAGAAATATATAAATAAGATGAATATTGATGAGATAAGGATGTTAAGATAGACGTGTGGCAAAACTAGAAAAGACAGATTTAGAAATAAGTATATTCATGAATGGATAGAAGTAGTACCGATAGAAGATCAGTTGAGAGAGAATAGATTAAGATGGTTTGGTCATATACAACGGAGACCAACAGAGGCAGTAGTGAAGAGATGCGATACAATGACGGTAGATGGAAGTGTTAGGGGAAAGAACAGATCTAGATTGATGTGGGCTAGTGTAGTAAATAGAGATATGAATCTCCTTAATTTAACTAATCATATGGCCGTTGAGAGAATCAAGTGGAGAAAAATGATTCATGAAGCCGACCCCATTTGATGGGACTTAAGACTTGGTTTGATTTGGTTTGGTTTGGCTTATGTTGAATATTACTTTTATGGCTTGTCCCTTTGTGAAATGTTGAATGTTGTTTTATGATTTTAGAATTTTAAAAATAGAATTTTATGGTGAAAACTTTGCCTATATTAAAATTTTGCTTATCTTCTACAATTTGCCACTCGATTTGGTGAGGCACGAGCCTTGCCTTACGCCTTGCACTTAGGCTCCAGGCACCTCAAATGCTTCTAGAGAGGGGTTCGTATAGACAAGCACATCTATATCTATCACGAAAAGAACAGGTGGAAGATGAGCTAACATCCTAAGCCTACCACAACTTTTGAGGTTCAATGGCGGATGCACTACACCTCTAAATTCATGGCTTTTAACAAACAAGCAAACATTGTTTGTAACGAATGCTTGAGATCCCCTTCTTTGTCAGCTCATTTGAGATGGCTTTCAAAGATATCTACAAATGTATAAGCTTTGTTTCCATCTTCCAATGTGTTGTCCTACTATATGTACCCAAAATGGCACCACTAATGGAAGGCCGCCATGTGGCACTATTTTCCGTCACGGAGAGAAGACATAAATCCCAAGCCACTTTGTTTTAAAACCCAAACCATTGGGTGTAATGACTACAAGGTGAGTTTGAATCAAACTAACGACAGCTCACATAATAGTTCGCAAAAAGGAAAAAACAGTTACAACTCAGTCCCTACTTTCTATCCAGCTGCCACTGTCAGGCAGCAATAGAGGAAAAGTGCTCCAGCCGTGATGCACACCTCATGACAAGATATCAGGATTTCTTGATGATTACTCCCATTATCCTAGGTAATGTTGTGCCCCACTTAAGGTAATGTTGTGCCCCACTTTGGTTAGTGGGGCAAGTGGCTAGAAATGGAGAATGTTAGGGAGCATAAATAGGATTTATAGAAAGTGGTGGAGTTGTAGAGATGATTCAACAGAAAACTTGGGAACTGAAGTTGATAGTGGCAAGAGAGCACAAGACACATGACATTGTCTCATCAGGCAAGCAAGAGTGTATTCGGGAACTAAATATACAAGAAATGAAGGCACGGTCCAGCACCACAAACATCGAATTCAACATTCAATCAACTCAATTTGGCCCATCACCTCTATCGTTACATTGTCATAGCTCCAACAGCTTATTTGTCATTAACTTAGCTTCTATTGCTTTGTTTATCCTTTAGCTAACCCACAGCTTTTACACTATCCAAATCTGCAAACCATTACTATTCATCAACGGTAACATTTATTGCATTTGCTTAGTATTATCATCATTTATTCTAGCGATATCAAGGCAAGTTCTACACTCCCACACATAGGACATTGTGAAGCCCTCATCATTGAGGCAAGAAAGAACCTTCAAGGTGTTTAATTTTGTCAATTTAAACCATAATCTTTTGATTTGTTTTCAATCTAAACCATCTGTCTATTTTTATTAGGTAAAATTGACAGAAAATGATATTTCAACAATTAAACTCAATGAAAAATAATATTTTTAGAAATTTTTCGTATACCTACATTGAATATAATGACTAAAATACAATTTTTTCTTCAGTTTTAGTTAACGAAAATAGGCAAATGGTTTACATTGAAAACAAATCAAAATATTAGGGTTTGAATTGACAAAATTAGAAACTTAGGATTTATTTTGTTAGAAGACTCAAACTCGCCCGCCGGGGGAGGGGGGGGGTGTGGTGTTGGGGCTGGACGATATTGTTTTTTTTTTTTTCCGAAATCGATAAGCTAAATTACTGCTTATTAACATCCAATTTCACATCATAATAACATGAGAGGTAATGATTTAAAGTAGAGACCCAATATCATTTATTGTCCAGTGAAATGAAATATAACACTATATTGTAAGAGGGAACATGTTTTGCTGATATTATTAAATTATTAAACTTGTCAAATGAAGAGGCATAATATATAGCACAACCAATTAGAATACCGTAAGCCCGAAAATTGAGGAAAGATATACTAACATCAAAATGGAGAATAATATCAAAATTGACAAGTGACTTCTTGATAGTGGTGACCAGGCAGCTACCTTATATTCCCAGTTGCGTAGTAGATTGCTTGACAGATTATTGTCATTCATTGGTGCTTCTGATAGTACCAAGGATGTAATTGTGCTGCTCAACCTCTCACAAAGCAGTTTGCTTTGTTCTTGAATGACAGTATTGTTCTCACTGGATCTTCTTTGGCCATCTATAACCATTGAGAAATGGCTTTCCAAAGTTGAGAAAAGACTTGTACCAATCTCGCTTGTGCTAGAGAGTAACTTTGAGGTTGAAGAATTCTCATTGGTTACAAAACTCTGTTCAGGTTACAAAAGAACAAATAGTTAACATTGTCTTATTGAGCTCTTTTGGTAAATAAGGTTGAAAGAGGCAAAAATGAGGTATAGGTTTCACCTGCAAACTTGACAAAACGTCCTTATATATATCTTTACAATTCGCCACAGACTCAAGCAGTTGTCGAGGAATTTCTTGGATTAGTAGTGCCTCTTGTTGCAGTTCTGAAATCTCCCCCATTAACCGTTTATTCAATAGTATTTGTTCCATGTGATTTCTCTGTAATAAATATTATCAATACATAAAATGTCATGTATGCATGAGAAATATAATCGTGGCTGAATACAATGGTAACAGGAGATTGAAACAAACCAAAATCTGGTTATTCAATTTCATCAATAAAATTACTTTAGTCATGATAGCATTATGGAAAAATATGTATAACTGACGGAAACGAAGAAGAATTACTAAATAAACAAAGTTGGTAATAGAAGAGAAGGAATATTTAATATTGAAAGGAAAATTCGGCAATGAAATTTTGAGTGCCTGTGTGGACCAGGAATCTGTCACATATGTAAGGCGGGGGGATTTACAAGACATATCATTTTATCACTCAAACATGGAAGCAACAGGCGATGCACCATTGTCTATTCTAGACAGCATCCACAATTATTAATGAACTACAGGGGTGGCACTCACTACGTGAGTGCAAGTGACGCATGTACATCGGAAAGTAAAAGAAATGGGAGAAAAATAAACAACATAACTATTTTACTGGAATGTAAGAAAGAAATACCCCAATGATCATTTTTTTTCAAAATGAATAACTAGTAGTTTGTTTCCAATTATATAATTAATACTGAGTTTCCAATATAACTGATTTCAAAGTATATATGTAATTATTGCTCTTCTTTGGTGACTGAAGATTGGTTGAACAGGTTCTGACTTTTTAGCATCCATTCCTAATATCCATTTGAGTCAATCCCACTAAATGACTTAATCTGAACCTACAAATACATATGGGACAAAGATGCTTTTGGATAATTTACCCTTAGAGATACTTTAGACTTATCTCTAAGTGCCAGTTTCCATATTTATCCTTAAATTCAACGACTTAACTAAAATATTCTTAAGAAACTTGTTTTGGATAATTTTGGTATGTGAAAAATCTACAAAACATCAAAACCAAGAATTCTCCCTTTATATTTAGTATAAATAAATAATTCATGCATAAACCTCATGACTGAAATTATATGATTTGATGATTGAAGCAGGTTACCACTAAATATTAAAAGAAAAACACGAAAACTAATGTGAAACAACAGAACCAAAGGAAAGTTTGGCTCGTAAGTTCAGTTAGAGTATCTCCATTATTTTTGGGTCTTAAAGAAGAATCATGGTGTGCAACATTTTTATTGCAACGAACAGGTTTATTTCCCTTCTTTCTCTGAAAACTTGTGCCTTCTTTCTTTTGTCTTTTTGGTACATGGGACAGGAAAGAAAGAAAACAGGCCTCCCAAGGACATCCTAATCTCTTGATAAAGTCCAACAAAATAGCTCAAAGAGGATTGCTGGAGATATCTTGTTTGAGGATGTGTGTAACTGTATTAATGGAGTGAGTACACTGGGCATGAGGGAGATTGTGAAGTACCTCCCTCAATAGCTCAACTAATTCTTAGTAAACAAGCATGAACACTCAAAAGCTCGGCTCAGCTCGGCACATTTACAGCCCTAGCCAAGGACACACACCCTACCCATCCCTAAGTACTCTAGCTTTGATACCATGTTATACGGTCTTGGATAGAACTAAACCCCAAAAGCTAGCTATTGAGGTGAAGGTACCCTCACGCTTATATGCTTAACATTACTTTAGTACTCGGGTGATGTGGGACTTCACTTCACAAGGTAAATGAGACAAACTCTTAAGTATGTGATTACTATTTTGTACTAGGAGCAGCATTCTTAAAACAAAAAAGTGGGCAATGGTAACCATAACTTTTGGAAAGAGAATCCCTCTATTTCCTATAGCAGTAATGTATTACTCTTCATCATCAATAAACACATTTAAGAAAATTGTAAGAGCCCTAAAACATTGACCAACTTTATGTTGCTTCTAGCAACACTGATCAAATTTAGGCATTTTAAGGTAATTAACAAGAGTAAATAAACATAATTGCAATAGACTAACCGTGAGTTCATCTTTTTCTTTTGTAGCAAGTTCCAATTGTCTTTTGAGATGTTGGATCTCTTGCTCGGAATTTTTCATTAAGCAACCCTGATAGAGATAATAACGAGTCCAAACTATTATACATAGGTATTCATGTCCAACAAATTATCCATTTACATAGACATGGAAAAAAACTATTGCTACAAACATCTATTATCATGCACTGAGTCTATATCAATTTTAATAACCAGCATTGAAAAGAGGCAGCCTTATGTCACTATGAGGATGAACTGCATTGCTTTTATTGACCCCACAAAAAGAGTAAGTAACAGCTAGTAGACTCTCATTCAGGCTACTGAAATAAACCAAAGGCTGCTGACTCCAAAACCAACGTTATATATGTACTTATATTTATATGAGCAAAATAAAATGTTAAAATTACATTAAACACAGCTTTTTTTTCTAAAAACGAATACAATCCCAAACATTGGAACTCAATGCTGGAAACAAGATAAAATCACCAAAATATTCACAATTGTTTATTTGATCATCAGTTAGATAGATATTGCAATAGAAAAATGAAAATGCCAACCCAAGTTCAAGTTGACAACTAAAATGTACTGCAAGATTGAAAGAATAGTTAGTATTTAGTACTCACTAAGAAGCAAAAGATTATTCTTTAAAATTTGTATAGAGACCAATTCTTGGTTCATGGTGTAAGAGGAAACAGTTTCAGCATCATTATCATTAAATTTAAACATTCTGTTTCAAAAGTGTTTTCTATTATTCTCCAAGTCACTCGTGTCAAAATAGTCATATTAAGTTGTATGAGGAACAACAAATTTTTTATAGTTATGAATAAAATAACAAATGAAAAAAAATCAAGTATGAAAATTAAAAACGGACCATGAAATCAATGAGTAGGATGGATGCTTAAAAATGAACTCACAGAAGTGATGTCACCGGATGGAAAAGACTGAACTTTTCTTGCAGGAGTCAGAAGTGAATCAAAGTCTGCTTTGTAGCCATTGTTCATTTTTAACCATGTGTCTTCATCAGCAACATTACTTAATGTATCTGGAAGAGGACTATACTCAGGTTGCGTACAATAATTTGATCGTTTCACAACAAAGGCATTGGGAACTGCCTTAAAACAAGGGGTTCTAAAAGCATCTTCCTGGCATATGCTATGACTATCACTGGTTTCTTCCTTGAGGTTTGCGAATTCCTGGACAACCACCAGTGATATAATTCAATTAACTATCCCAGGAACACAGAAAGGAAAAATTGTAATACCTCAATAAAAGAATAAAACAGACATTTTTTTTTGTTTCATGGAAAATAAACACCAGTGTCGCAATTTCCATACCACCCAGAGCAAAACAAAATAAAGGCGAAGGTTTATATAAAATATCCATCAGACCTCACCAGTCTCAGTTTTGTAGCAAGGATAGACTTTGTATTAATCAATGAGATCTTTTCAGAAAATTTCTTCTAAAAACAAGCCGTCAATTGTGGACATGTTATTAGCAACCTGATTTCAGGCAAAAACCATGTCTGAAAACTTAAATTTGTTGATAGCAACAACCTGATCCAAAGCAAGTAAAGTAGGCAAAGAATTTTAACTAAATTCCGTAGTACAGGGTAAAGTTATGGAATATACTTCAAAGACTTCCCATGGTAAAGATATAGGATATACTTCAAAGACTTCCTGTTAATTCAAAAATATATCTTTCACAGAAACATATCTTTCCAACCAATGGGAAATATTTCTCCTGTTACATGAATCCAATTTTCATTTTATCCAAGAAATCTTTTTCTCGACAAAGTCTATGCCATTTGATCAAACAGCCTCACGTTAGATAGGAAGAGATTTGATAACTACTGATAAATCTTGGATAGAGTAGTAAAACAGAAAGATATTTATGTACAGAAAGTGGAAAAATGACTGCTTTTGCCCAGGTAAGTAGTTAGGATAAATAAAGCCTAATTGATTAAAAGTGAACTGATATCTATGAACTTTTTCTTAGTATATTACATACTCATCTATTCTGATGAAAGTGAACAGGATAAGAGGATAAAGATGGTTTATTAAACAGCATCAATAAACATTTTAAAGACATTGCACTGTAAAAGTTTACCTGGCTAGACTTTTTATCGGAATCCGAAATGGTGACAAGACTATTGAGATTGTCAATTTTCATTTGTTGTTCCCTAATGCATTGATCTCGTGCTTTGTGTGATTTCCTCTCCTCCTCCAGTTCCATAGCAAGTTTCTCACGCTCTAGCTCATACTGATGAATGGACAACAGACAAATAAATGCATGCAATGAACAAATTACAGTAATAGAGCTTACTGTACAATAAAATAGACATAACTCTACAAAATATAAAAGTAAAAATAACGATAAAAAACTGCCTTGAGCATGTCATTCCGCAATTTCAAGATCTCTTGCTCCAGCACTTCAGCTCGAGATCCCTGAAAAAGATGTTTACAGCATTAAATTTGTTCTTTGCTTGCCTTAGCATGAAGAAAAAACAGAAATACGATCATTCACCTGAAGTTTGTTACGTAGATCCTCTATCTCCAGTTTTTGTCGCTTCAGTAAGGCAGCATCTGTCAAAATCTACAAAAAAAAAGAAACAAAAAAAAAATCAACTCCAATTAGCCATACCATTAGATTTGAAAGAAGCAAGGAATCAACTTTAAAATAATAATTATTACTTTAGAAAATATGTTTAGGACTCGTTTGGGAAGGCTCTGTTTTAGTTAAAAAGTCAAAAAGTTACTAAATTAGCCAATTAGCCAATTAGTCATACCAAAAAGTCAACAATTACGGCTTCTCTCTACTTTTTGCACAGCTTTTCGTAATTAGTTAAAAATCTACAAAAAAAAAGAAACAAAAAAAAAAATCAACTCCAATTAGCCATACCATTAGATTTGAAAGAAGCAAGGAATCAACTTTAAAATAATAATTATTACTTTAGAAAATATGTTTAGGACTCGTTTGGGAAGGCTCTGTTTTAGTTAAAAAGTCAAAAAGTTACTAAATTAGCCAATTAGCCAATTAGTCATACCAAAAAGTCAACAATTACGGCTTCTCTCTACTTTTTGCACAGCTTTTCGTAATTAGTTAAAAAGTCATCCCAAACATACAAGTTTTTTTTACCTACCTTTTTAGCCAATTAGCCAAAAGTTACTAAATTAGCCTGTTCCCAAACGAGGCCTTAATCATTATTTAAACACTATTTGCAAACAAAATGATGTCAAACCCAGAGGGACCAGTTAAGTTAAAACACGATAATTTACACAATCAAGGCAAGCTCTCAATGAACAAATCCAGAAATGTTTAACTTTTTGGCTTTCAAAAATCTATGTGACCAACTTGGTGATTAAACTGCAAATACACAAGGAAGTGGTGCTATAATACAATATATGTTATAAGTAAGATCCTTCAATTTATAAACATTGGAAAATGTTCCATACTTAATATTTTCAAAATCATTTTAGTTTGATGCCACCCACGTTAACATTTTTAACATTCTAGTTTAGCCCATTTCAACTAGTTCAAGTGTAAAGTTCCTAGTTTTTTTTTTTTTTTTTTTAACAAATCATTATTTTACAATGACCAAAACCAAAAATGAAGTCAATATTGAAACTGGAAACTTAAGAAAGAGGTAACCATCCAACCAACTGTAAGCTACTTTTCAATTGGATACAGCATGAATCATGTAAACCATCACATTTAGGTTTTCTCTTTGGCTCAACTCAATTAAAATTTATGAACTTCCGCATGATAAATTACAAACCATAGGAAAGAAATCAATATACAAAAAAATTTAAGAATATTCAACATACCCTCATCTCAAAAATAAAAAATTCTAGGAACACTTCAGACACTAACTTCTATTAAATCCATATTATATATTACCTTTTACAGCTAGATTCTACTAAAAACTATGTCAGCAACAAACAATATGGCAGCTACAGTAACAAAAGTATATGTTGAAGTAAAATGTTGTAATCTTACTAAGTTGGAAAAGAATTAAGTGTTATTAAACCAAATAACTAACAAACCTCATTCACTTGAACACAATTTGTTATTCTCTTGGCTCTGCTAGCAAACTGGAGGGTTCCTTTCGTTTCCTCTATGTGAATCTGGATGAAGTAGCCATATTAAAACCATACTATAATGTTAAACTTGATGTAAGATATATATATATATATATACACACATATAACTCGATAACATATTAATAACCTACCTCTTCTGGTGCTAAAGTGCAAATTATAGAAGTTTTGGCATTGCCACCAAGAGCAGGTTGAAGTATGCGAGTGAGCTTACTATCCCGATAAGGAATGTGTCCCCTGCATTTATATTTTGATTCATTTAGACAGTTGTTTTATGAGATGGATTATTAACTTAAGGAGGCCAATACCTTTGCTTTGCACCATCACTTAGTTTGTTAATCACATTGCCAAGAATCATTAAGCTCTTATTGATGTGTTTTCCTTCCTTCAGACGTACTCCACCAGCTCCAGTTTTAGCAATCCGTTCAGACCCAGCTAAATCTACCAAATTCTAGTTCAAAAAAAAAAAAAAAAAAAAGCCAACAATAAATTTAAATAGAATATGAAGTTAAGATATTAAAAAAAAAGGATAACAATTAAAACAAGAAACAAATATTATAATATATGTGAAATGGTATGCAACAATTAGCTAATCAATTTCTGAACAAGGCAAGACTTGGAAAAATACAAACCAATACAGCAACACGAATTGCGTCATCAGAACATGAATCCTTTCCCTTACTTTCAATTACCTGGCACAAATTAATAAATAAATAAAATCAATGTTCTGAGTAAATGCCACAAAGAAACAGCTTTCAACATAGCAACATTTCCATGAAACATCAAGGACATACCATCCTAAATATTGTGTGAGATCTACTACTACGAACATTCATGTTTGTCTCACCAAAATGGCGATTAACTGTGAGAAGAAATTTTAAAAGTAAATGTTAGCATTCAAATAGGGAGAATGATGCAAGTATAACCAGCCGAAAAGGACCTATTCCAGTTGAGGGTCAAACCTTCTCCAGATTCGATGAGCTTAAGCACTTGCTCAGCACTATTCACAATTTCCTCCCTTAGACCTGCAACAAATATTCCACGCTAGAAAAGAAAAATATGTGATGTTATTACACGGTTGACAGTTCTAAAAAAAAACTTGCAAAAGTGTCATTTTCTGTCCACAACACACCTCCAAACTCTCATGAATTTGCAATTTCTGGTTCTCTATAGCAAAAAGATCATTAATTTCCTCATTATAAATTTCCATGTAAGAAACTCGAATGAGAAACTCCCGGTCAGTCGTCTGAGAACATTAAAACAAAATTATATAAATAAATAAATAGTATATGAAAATTCCTAGATTTCTCAGCACATTACATCAAGAAAAACAGCATAGTGAATGCCATAAGAATGGTGATAGTGGTGTTGATGATATTAGTTGCTAAAATAGCCAAGATATTAGCAATAATTAATTTAAAATAATAAAAATACCATTTGAATTTTTGTAAATATATCTTTTACAGCCCGGTGAATAATTCCCGGGTCATTTGCAGAACCATTCATTGTGAAAGTCTTGCCACTGCTGGTCTGCCCATATGCAAACGCAGTTCCTGCACACATCATAATGATTAACTTCAAATCAATGAAAATGACGAATGTTATTAATAATAATATGGCATGATTCTTTACCGGCAGTTGGTTAAGAAGAAAAATAAATAAATAAAACTAAAAAATAAAACTTTCTCAATAGCTTAACACACAACTAAAACATGAAAATGTTTGTTTCTTAATTGAAGCAATTTTTGTTTGTCAAAAAAAACAAATGAAAGTAAGAAAAAATATTCAAAATTATATTTTCTACTCATTCAATGAAATTTTACGCAATTAAAATCAGACAAAAAAAAAGTACATCAAATAAAGGGGAAAAAAAAAAAAACTTTGGCAGACATCTAACAATTCTCAGCTCAAACCATTAGTCGAATTAGCTAAGGCTGTGTTTAAATCATCGATTTGGAAAAAGAAAGGAAAAAATGAGCTTGTATTTCAATTGCTTATTATTTTCCCTTTTTGTAAATTTATACTAAAATCCATGATGGAAGCTAAAACACAATTGGGAAAATAAGAGGGAAAAAGGGAAGCATATACCATTGAAACCCTCGACAGCAGCGTGAATAATGTCCTTGGTAAGAAGCTTGTAAACCCTTTCATTTGTGGAATCTTGATCAAATACATAATCTGAAATCCATTCATTACAACAAATGATTCCTTAAACATATCTATATATATAAGTACAGAGAGAGAGAGAGAGAGAAGTGGATAGTATATTATATACCAAAAGCGTAAGAAACTCCAGAGATAGGAGTGCCGAGGGATTTGTGAAGAGATATACGATTGTCTTCGACCTTCCAGAAAGTTCCATTGGAGGTCTCCTCCATCACAGGAGGTCTCACTCTCACTGCTACACATATCTTCTCCATTTCTCTCTCTCTCCCTCTCTCTCTCTCTCTCTCTCCCCTCCTCTCCTCTCCTCTCGTTTGTTACAAGGAGACGACTGTTGGATCTGATTCTGTGGTTTGAGTTTCAAATCGGGCGGGCGCTTTCTGTTGTAATTTTGAAAATATTTTGGGTAAATTACAATCACCTCCCCTCAGGTTTTTAACAAATACAGGGACTTTTTCGGTGATTTGAATAATTACAAAAATCTCTCTTATTTTAACTGACATTATCAAGATTTTTCCATTTCGTCAAATTGATACAAACGATTACTTGTATATACTAAATGACCTTATTACCCTTGCTTTGGAGCACAAAAAAACGATAGTACCCTTTATACCCTAAATCTCTAATTCACTACATATTCTGATTGACAATCGAATTTGTAGGAGAGAGAGAGAGAGACGAAATCTTTGGAGAAGACCGATCGATGTAAAGAAACGACGAAAAAACGTGAGATTTTGGTTCGATCATTGTTGCCAATGCAAAATATGAAAGAGATTGATTAGTGAAAAGTTGTTTTTAAGGCATACAAGTAAGATTTTACACCTTTTATATTTCGAATATGAGAAATTTGAATCTAGGGTTTACAATTTTGTTTTTTTTTTCTTTTTATATGGATTTTTGAATTTTTTCTTTTCTTTTTATATAAAATTTCTAACTATATGGGTTTGATTGATGATATGTATGTGAAAAAGGTTTCTTTCGAAAATATACATTTAGGACTTTTATGTTTCTTGCAAAATTTATCACTGGAAAATAGGGATTTTGTTAATTGTGTGTTAAAAATATTGATGTAGGTTTTTTTTTTTTTTGGTCTTCTTTTTGTTATGATTTTTGATTTTATGGTTATTTTCGTTTTTTCCTTGTGAAATTATGATTGAATGGGTTTGGTTTATTTGCAAAATTTGGGGATTTTTATTAATTTACTTGTAAGAAATAGTTTTGTTCTTATTTTTCTTAGAAAAATTAATAGAGGGATTTTTAATTCTTTTCCTTATGAAATTATGATTGTATGGGCTTGTTTTATTTGTAAAATTTGGGGTTTTGTTAATTTCATGTCAGAAATAGGTTTCTTCATTTATTGTTGTTGCTGTTATGAAATTATGATTGTATGGATTTGGTTGATTTGTAACATTTGGGGTTTTGTTAATTTACTGTCAAAAATAGTTTTCTGCTTATTTTTCTTAAAAATAATGATTTAGGATTTTTTTTTATTCTTTTTGCTATGCAATTATGATTGTATTGTATGAGCTTTTATTTATGTTTGTTATGAATTTGGGGATTTGGTTTTATTAATTTACTGTCAAAAACAATTTTCTTCTTGATTTGGTTTTATTAATTTACTGTCAAAAACAATTTTCTTCTTAATTTTATTAGAAATAATGATTTAGGGATTTTTTTTTTTTTTATTCTGTTTGTTATGCAATTATGATTGTATAATCTTTTATTTATGTTTGTTATGAATTTGGAGATTTGTTATTTTTTGTATGTATTCTACTTATGAATTACATTTGGTTAAGTAATTGTTGAATGGAGTTGTTTTTTTGTAATTAATTGTTACTCATTATGATCACAGTATGGTTGCATTCCCTTATTTTGATTTAATCATCAACTATAAAGGCAAAGTGGGTAGAGTATATGATGTGGATCCAAATATGTATTGCTACATTGATGCTTTGAAAGATGTGACTGCAACAGTCATCTCTCACATTACTTGTAGTAAAGCAATAGCTATGACATTGCATTGTGATATACCTAGTTTTGAGAATAGGAGATTAATAGAAAATGATCTTGATGTATTGGACATGTTTTATGTGCAAGGTAGAAATAAAACAATTAACTTATATGTAGATATTGCATATGAATTTGGAGATTTGTTATTTTTTGTATGTATTCTACTTATGAATTACATTTGGCTAAGTAATTGTTGAATGGAGTTGTTTTTTTGTAATTAATTGTTACTCATTATGATCACAGTACGGTTGCATTCCCTTATTTTGATTTAATCATCAACTATAAAGGCAAAGTGGGTAGAGTATATGTTGTGGATCCAAATATGTATTGCTACATTGATGCTTTGAAAGATGTGACTGCAACAGTCATCTCTCACATTACTTGTAGTAAAGCAATAGCTATGACATTGCATTGTGATATACCTAGTTCTGAGAATAGGAGATTAATAGAAAATGATCTTGATGTATTGGACATGTTTTATGTGCAAGGTAGAAATAAAACAATTAACTTATATGTAGATATTGCATATTCTATTGGCATGGAAGATGGTAAAGATAGAAATGATGTTGGAGATGGAAATGGTGGAGGTGATTGAGTACATACTGTAGATGTATATGAAGAGCACCATGAGGACAATGTCCATGGGTTTAGTGATGAGGATATGGATTGGAATGAAACTGTTGATGATGAACATGAATCAGATGGCACTGAGAGTTTGAGTGGTGAGGGTACTGAGGAGTCAAATGAAAATGATGATGATATACTTAGTGATTACCATTCTGGTGATGATGAAGTAAAATATTCGAGCAGTGATGATGTATTTGATGGTGAAATCAGATGATGAGGAGAGTTCTTCGTTAGTATGTAAATCGTTGATATAATTTTTGTGTATTCCTAATCTAATCCAGTCATTTTCACTGCAAACAGAGAGAGAACAATTTTGACATTACTCGTATTTTACGAAATTTTGACTTACAAACAAAATATTATTTTCTGCCCAATTTTTTACTTCTTCATTTAAAAAAAGAAATGAATTAAAGAGGCTAGTATATGGGGGCCACTTTTTGTTTGTAATGATCCCTCGAAAATGTTTTTAATTGGGGATATTTTGTGACATAATCGGTGGGACATCTTTTATTGCAGAGTGCAAAGAATTTTTTCCCCATTTCTACTTCTGCAAGTATTCCCCCCAGAGTTTGTCTCTGTTTTTCGAAGGAGTTTTCCTCTTAGATGAAAATTCTCTACATTCTATGAAATGGCCCCCTTTTCTATATATAATGTCGACTTGCTGTTAGAGAATGGAGTTTTGCTATATTTGATAGATTCTCCTGTTGGTTCTAGTGAGATCAAAAAATCTATGGTTGGAGGTTTGGATTTTCTTTGTACATTGAACCATGGCATAAAGGTAAGGGTTTCCATCTTCATAGAGCTCCCTTGCGACAAGTATGCAGTATGAAAGATAGACTAGTTGGAGAAGGGATTGGAGGAGCTCTAGGAGTTGTTTTTTTGGCAAGGGCATTGTGGGTAGGTAAGGAAAACATTCTTGGCATAGAAACAGAAAGAGGCTTGGCGAGGCATTTTGTAGTGGTAAATAGTAAACTTACACTAGCCATACAAGGGCTCCCTATTAGTTAAAAAACTTGGTGTGAGTTGGTGTTGCTGGGGGTGCACTGTCACGACCCAAACCCGCCCCTATTGATTTAGCGTCGTAACCGGCCAGTAATCCTAGGATTACCAAAGGCCTCTAACCTGAAAATCATATAAGAGAGGGGCTGCGAAAACAAATATATAAAATACATCGTCCATTGAGCTGTGTAGACATACATAAGACAAATAATTTCAAACTTTATAGATATATATTTATATAGTCTCATCCACATAAATCATACAACACCGTACAGGTATTATCAAAAGGGACTTAACCTAGTGTATGAACGAACAAAAACAAAACAAAAGCATCCTTAACGTGATTCACAAAACTTGACTTCTTCAAACAGGAACCTCTCTAGGAGGCATGGTGGCTAACCTAAACTCTCTAGGCAGCAGCTTAGGCCTGGTCACGCGCCTGCTCACCTACATACATAATATACGTAATGAGCGAAAGTCCAATGAATAATAACAAAGTAAAATGTTAAATGAATGATGTCACATATCAAATTCACGACCCAAACCCGCCCCTATAGATTTAGCGTCGTAACCGGCCAGTAATCCTAGGATTACCAAAAGCCTCTAACCTGAAAATCATATAAGAGAGGGGCTGCGAAAACAAATATATAAAATACATCGTCCATTGAGTTGTGTAGACATACATAAGACAAATAATTTCAAACTTTATAGATATATATTTATATAGTCTCATCCACATAAATCATACAACACCGTACAGGTATTATCAAAAGGGACTTAACCTAGTGTATGAACGAACAAAAACAAAACAAAAGCATCCTTAACGTGATTCACAAAACTTGACTTCTTCAAACAGGAACCTCCCTGGGAGGCATGGTGGCTAACCCAAACTCTCCAGGCAGCAGCTTAGGCCTAGTCACGCGCCTGCTCACCTACATACATAATATACGTAATGAGCGAAAGTCCAATGAATAATAACAAAGTAAAATGTTAAATGAATGATGTCACATATCAAATTCAGAAAACATAAACAGATTCATATTCTTATTTAGAGTTCAGAGACATATACTTATTCAGTTTCACAGAGGATCATACATGGTACACCCATTAGCGCTAACAGATCAAATACAGAGCATGAAAGGTCATACTTGACCAGTTCCATTTAGGAACCTCCAGTATCGGGAACAGATAACATACTTATGCCACAGTATTGTTACCTCCAGACGAGGGCCATGAGACCATGGTATTATTACCCTCAGGCAAGGGCCATGAGACCATAGTATTATTACCCCCGGGCAAGGGCCTTGTGCTCATAGGCCTCGGTATTGTTACCCCCGGGCTAGGGCCTTGTGTTAAGGATGCCACGAGTACTTGTTAGAAAATTGGACAATCATTCATTGTACAAAATATAACATTTCATAAAATACATCTTATTTCATCATACAGAAAATAAATAAAGTTGAACATAGCTTTATTAAGTTATTACTCACAGGTGGAACCAGAAGCAGACAGACAGAGTAAACAAATCAAATGGCTTATGGTGCGTGACCTACACAAACATAACAGATACACATATTGAAACACATACCCGGATAGTACTTAACTTATTTCATTTAGTTCTTAGTGTGTTTCTAGTCCTTATCCTCATTATTATGTCTTAATCATGGCCTAGGAATGCCTAGGATGCAATGAGGGTGCCAAAACATGTTGTTCAACACT